AATTTCCAGTCGGAATTCCAGCAGCTATAAGAATCAACAACTCCGTTTGATTGTACATTCGTATTCCAATGGACGTAATACCGCTCGTTCAATGGCTTCGATTTTCGAAGTATGAGGCTTGACGAAAAAAATGCACTTAATCTAATTGATAAGTTCCAGAGGATCGGAATTTCATCACTGTCGAACAAGAAAGCTTGTATCCTGTAGGCTGATAAAGTTAACTTTTAGCTGAAATATGTTGGCCTAAGGTTGGAAACAGCCGTTATTTTCACACCACATTGGATTGGAAGTCAACTCACATCGGTCCCCAAGGGTTAAAGCTAGAAGAATAGTGAGGTGAGTGAAAAGGTAGGAATGGAATCGTATGTTCGAATTTCTTTCTTACTCCCTCGATACATTTACAAGTGTACGAGGACGTTCATCATATTTATTTGAAGTATAGTGAAAAATCAACCTCACTAGAAATTTTGGTTGACTTAATTAATCAAGTACATCCAAAAATGTGACACAGAGATTAGATTTATCGGAACTCCCATACCTGCCCTTTTTATATTGGTTAATAAAACACAGGAACAAAATAATATTGACGGAAATCTCCAACGATGTAAAAAGGAAAAATATCTGGTGGATCTTTTTGAAGACCAACTTTCTTCATTGTTTCCTTGGAATGAATAATCAATATTTTAATGCATCGCTGAGCTCATCAAGTAATTGGTAAATCTTCCATGGGGCTGTAGTGGTGGCTGCCATTGATACACCAGTGCTGTAGTGATTGTTGTGGCACTCACTACTTTGTAGTAGTTCAGTTGTGAAATACTCACTTGTAGTGAACATTAGATAGCGCAGAGATTATCGATTAGTTGTTGCCGTCTCTTCTCGGCTTTCAAGGGTGAATCCGTTTCGCAATTCTTATTATTTGATAGTTATGTAATATATACATATTTACATCTTGACCCACGGATCTCCCTCCTATGAGGGGTCCCGACGGCCGGTTAGCCGCGGAGCTACGTGGCGCGTCCCCAGTTGGCGGATAGAGGGTTAATCGCGGACCAAAAGCGACCTTTGCTTCCCTGAGACGAAGATGAATCCAGAGGTGTACTCCCTCTTTCTGCTACGCCGATTTGGCACATGCGTTCTTTATTTGCTAGGCGTATTCATACGTGCGTGTGTGGGTGCATTCTTGCTTATGCGGATTGTACTCTACGAGCCAATTCGGCCAAAAACCTGCAATCAAGTGACTGGGAAGTGTACGGGAGGCGGTTAGGAGTCGCCTCCATCAAATAAGTTCCATGTCGACTCTGGGAGAGCCTGGAAAGCTACCCGTGAGTATACCCGGCCCCACGTTCAGAGCCCAGCCTGTTATCCCAAAATTCCTACACGGGATCAGACCATCGTCTCCTTCGTGCAAGATTCTATTTCCTTCAGAAAAGAGAAAAAGCCGCTAAATTCAAAAATCCAAATCCGAGAACCACCGTAAGCTGGGACTTATTCAATTCATTGGTCGGCTGTTGGGAAGATGCCGTTGTCGATAACATCGACGAGGAATACGATCGGCTCATTCAACATCTTCACGTTAGCCCCATGAAAGCTGAGAGTTCGACAATCACCAAGAGACGTCTGTCTCCAGAAACATTCGAGCTGATACACCAGCGTGGAATCGCACGAGCTGCAAGCAACCGCGAACTAACGCCCGAACTTGCACAACAATCCAGACAGACGATAAAAGAAGATTTTAAAGAGAGAAAAGCAGCAGTAATTGTCGAAACTGCAGAGGCTTGGAAGCATTCGTAAAGCCCATTGAAGCTTCACCAATAGCAAAGCCAAAATGATTGCACTCTAGCGCCCAGACGGAACAGTTAGTGTCCAGAAAGGCAATGGAGAAAATCATTCACGACTACTGCTCAGATCCCTTCGATAGCGACGTTCACCTTCCATCACATGAAATAATGGAGGGTGGATATATTGCACTGCCGGTCCTTCCTTCCGAAATCCTACATGCCATTTCATTGGTGAAAAATCGAACAGCCCCAGGTCCGGACAGGATAAGATCAGAACACCTGAAGAACCTTCCGCCAGTCCTCGTAAACACGCTGGCTCGGCTTTTCACACATTACCTGTCTGAGTGCTAGAACCCTACTCAGGGTAAAACCAGTAAGACAGTGTTATTGTTCAACAAGGGTGACCTATACGATATAGGCAACTATCGCCCAATCTGCTTGCTGTCTGCCGTCTAAAAACTTTTCACTCGAATCATTCTAAGCAGGATTGACAGAACAGTGGACGAAGGAAAGCAGCCATGTGAGTAAGCAGGGCTTCGAAATGGATTTAGTACGTTGGACCACGTCCACACGATAACAAGGTTCATTGAGGTATCACGAGAGTGCAAAAGGCCGCTCTGTCTCTTTCATGGATGTAATGATGGCCTTTGACTCAATTGGGATAGAAGCAGTCACGGAAACCTTTGGTAGTCAGGGACTCCTTGGTGTATAAAGCTTCTCCGTGGGCTATACAAAGATTTCACGACCAAGATATCACCATTCTACAACGATATTAACATTAACGTCCAAAGAGTAGTTAGGTAAGGCGACACGACCTCGCTAAATTTATTTACCGCCACCCTCTAGAACGTCATTCAAACGTTGGAATGGGATATGGGAGTGAAAATCGACGGTCGGCAGTTACACCATCAGAAGTAAAAGTCAATAGTGATATTTTTGATGAGCTTACACAAGGTTGATAATGATATTTATTTTCGGCTAACGTTTCGACGTCCTCGTCTTCCTCAGAGCCGATGATCCGAGTCGATGGTCCACGCATGTTATTCGTCTCGACGTGGCAGCTTCGCCTTCGTGTCGAGTCAGGTCTTCTTTAGTAAGACATCTCCTCGAATGAATGAAATGAATTTCTGCAGAAGTCGGTGTTATTATCAGCCAGCACAAAGCGTAGTAATATTTCGATCCGTTTGATTGTCCGGGAAAACAAGTTGTTATCACACTATCACCGGATAATCACAACTATCCACCATCAGCAACCTGCGTAAAAGAGCGTCACTGAGTGAGCATGCCTCATTCGAGGAGATGGCTCACTGAGAAAGACCTGACTCGACACGAAGGCGAAGCTGCCACGTCGAGACCAATAACAAGCGTGGACCAGCGACTCAGATCATCGGCTCTAAGGAAGACAAAGACGTCGAAACAGCCGAAAATAAATATCATTATCAACTAAGCTCATCAAAGAAAGAATACATATTGATGTTAGCAGTATCCCGTGTCACACAAGAGAAGAGATCTGAAGCTCCGACGTACGTCATCGATAAAAAATCAGCGATGCCGTTCTGCACGCCAAACTGCCGAAGATAAGATGAGCTGTGCACATGGACAAGAGCCGGTAGTGACTGGATTCCTCGGAATGTCAAGCCTACTGCAGGAAGACCACCGACCCAATGGTCAGAGTTCTTGACGAAGAGCCTAGAAGAAGGTATGATGCTCGACGAGCCCCTAGAGCGAGCAGAACCCACTAGGCTAATCTTGCACGCGACAGAGAAAAATGGAAGATTTACTGGCACCCGTTCGAGTCACTCGACAATCATCGGGATTACAGGTGATACAGGTGATTAAAAAAAACAAAAAACAAAGGAACCTATTTTTATCGCGTTGTGGCACATGTGGGGCTGCATGCAGCTATGAGCTGCTCATCCAGTGCGTGAACTATCGAACAAAGACAGGCAATTTATAAAAAGACACTACGGATCCCTCTGTAGTCATCTGCGAAACAACACATGAGATGAGAGCTGTTACAGAAAGCTTGGTAATGTAAGACATGATTGCCCTTAGTTCATTTTTTTCCGTCATCTAGAATCGTAGTTTTCGACGCTGACTAAAAATGTTCACGTACTTGCAGTGAGGTGCAACAGCGGGTAGTAGGACCACTATTTCCTCCACGGCATACTGAATTGTACATCTTGTACAGAAGCCACCATGTTGATATATATATATATATATATATGCCTAAAGGTGCTAATGCTTTTGTGGTTTGGTGATGGTTGACTCAGTTAGATACCTGTAATCGTTGCTTGAATGGCGATAGAATTTTTATTTTTGGAGTAAAGGGGGTTAGTGAAAGTGTCTTATACAGGCTACAACAAACAAGTCTCATGCCACCTCAGACCGTGCACAACAACCTGTGAGTACATTCACTACCTAGGGGAACTACCTGCGACTATTTTCTCGAAAAAAGGAAAAAAGCATAAGCCATCAAGCTGAAAGTGTGGTATTTGTATTCTTCAAGGGAACGGCATGTACTGCGCAGCTCTATTGCAGAAAAGGGACGAATAAAAGCTTTACTGGTGTATAATATTGAAGTCAACGACTTATTACGAATTATAGACAATATTGACGGTCCATACTTATGGGTGGAAAAAATGGAGAAGAAAAACGCTACAAGAATACAGTCCCGGAAAGCAGATAACATGGGAATGCAAATTTAAGTTACCTTCTTTCACTGATAAGCTAAGATGAGGTTGATAAAATAAAATTTGTTCGGCTAAGCCTCTGATATTTTCGTTTTCCTCAGAGCCGATGATCCGAGTCAATGTCCACAATTCTTCGTACTCTCAATGTGGTGTCTTCGTCGTCCTATCGAGTCGTACATTCTCCAGTGAAACAACGTACACAGATCCGACTTGATATGACGAAGAAGATACTATATCGAGAGTACGAAGAACTGTGGACATTGACTCGAGTCATCGACTCCAAGGAAGATATCGAAGCTTCAGCCGAATAAAGATTGTTTGTCAACCTAGTGTAAGCTTATCAAAGAAAGAATACATGTCGACTAGCGATATCGAAGTGAAAGGACAGTATGTTTTCAGAATAAAAATATGATTTTTGAAATCTGATGACAGTAAGAAAGTGTAGATTGAAACACCTTAACATCGAATATTTCCAACTATCATTCATTCAATAATTGATTCACTGAATCCATTAAGATTCCTTCAATAATTAAGCATTCCTTTGCTCTTGTACCTTCGTTCCACTTGCTGAGAAACGTGGCGTGAAACCCGCTGGACCGACATTCCAGGCCTCCACCTTAATCAAAAGTTTACCTTCAACACTTTACACGATATCTCGATAATAGAAGAATAACTCGGCTACAAATATTACCAGTTCTTAAGATGAAACAGTTCCGAAACAAGAAAAATGTTTGAAACGAAACTACCTCACCTTCACAGGTAGTTCATTTCCGTATAAACCGAGCAAAATTTCGGGATCAACTTCATCATAAATAGACGTGCTTTTCCTATTTGGTTCCGCCTGAATAGTTCATCAGAACGTGACTGTTGAGAGATATAGAGACAGAAGTTGTTCCCTACCTGCTTAATAAAAGGGACCAACATGCTGAATTCAGGATCAATGCAAAGTTTGAGTGCCGCTCTCGTGTGCTCGTCTCCAAACTTAGTCCCGGTTTTTTCACATGTTTTCTTAGTGAACAGATTCTTAAAAATAATAATTTTTTGAATTTCTCGGCCTACCTCAACCCATAACAACTCGCCACCGTATTTCGCCGCTGGCACGCTATTTTTCGGTGGTTTCCTCGTTAAATTTAGAGAATTCGGATGTTCTCATCTTAGCATTTTATTTGCTGATGCAAGTCCGCTGATTTTCTTGAATGTAGTTGCTTTATACTCCATACCACACTGGCTCTATTCCCAATCTCCCAACCATATCGTTGTCAGTATTCGGTTCTTTTTTTTTGTCAATACGTCTAAGTTTATTTCGTAGTTTATTCATTGCCATGACATGTATACACTGCAAACGCCATCACCGATTCATCCTATTGATGCGAAAGGAAATAACAGTGAGTTGTTGATTGAAAATTGAAGGTCTTGTGCTTCACACAATGGACTGCGCAGTTTTCCAAACCTTGATACAATGTAAGATGTTTTCTCTACAACTCCCAATCCCTTTACCGTTGATTACAATTCTGAAGGGTTAAGGACTTAACACACACAGAAATGGTTGCTTTGTTCTAACACTTCCCATTCACTTTATTGTTCCAGCTTCTAGTACCTATTTGTTAACTATACGTTGAATACCGTTACAATTAGGCTTGTGTGCTCAATTGTTTTAGGTGTTTATACGTTGCTGTTACCGTTTTCCGCTTGTTTTTATAAAGAATTGTCTAAGTGTTTTAGCTTTCTCTTTCTCTAGTTAGGCGTTGGACAACATTCCACGTGTTCTAAATCACCCCTTAGAGCAAACAGATAGGTGATCTCCCTATTTGCCTTTCATTCTGTTCTTACTTCAAGAGCTTTCTCGTGATATTTTCAAAATGTCCGTGTTCAAACTGTCTTATAGCGCTGACAGTAGTGCACCAAACAGAAACATCACATCCAATGGGTATATTTCTGTACGGTAAACTAACTCACATCCACGTAGAGAGCTGGTAAATGTAAATACATAGGTAAGACTTTGTATCCAATTAGATTTTCGTTTTTGTGCTACAGGTGATTACATATAGTAGTTGGCATCTGGTCTTAAGCACAGCTATGCCACTCCTGTTAGTATTTCTATGAAATAATACTACTTTTACCTATCCATTTCCATTTAATTTCGATATGAGCATTCAATACTTATATAGCATATTTTTCCTTCTATTCATAAGCTTCCACGAGGTAAATATCAGATGCTTATTGTGCCTAACGTTTCGGCGCATTTAGGATTCAAAGTGCAGTAATGATTCGAGCCTGATATTCAGAATGTTTTTGTCTGCCTTGCATAAGCTCATGAATAGAAAAAAAATAACTGGCAGCATGTTTCCTATGAGTTCCCTGCCCTGCTAATAATACGCTACATGTTTTTACAATCCTAAGGTACTCCCTTACTACTACGAGTTAATCAACGGTTTGTTTCTGAAGAATCCAAGTATGGTTGAAATTGAAGAGCTCGACTGGGCCTTCTATGAACTCTGGCTGGTCTGTGATGGTAACGCTTGTAAAGACATCGCTGAAAAGGAAGCATGTCCTAAGTTCTGCGGAGAATTTGCTGACGAACATTATCTGTCTTTTGGCTTCTTTCTTGTCGCTTTGCTATTGTTTTTATTTGTTTTTCATCTTAGTATTCCGGTTCAACGATTAACGACTACCTGCACCCAATGTCGGTCGAAGACTTCGTGATATAAGTATTGTAGAGTTATTGCTGTTTTCTTATAATTCACTGTGCATTGTTAGTAGCATTTGAGAAGCGATTACTTGTTTATTTTAGTTTAAGAAATAAATGTTCTTATATTCCTCCGACTATATTGAGCCTTCACTCATTTTCTGTCAAGTTCCACTATATAAGACGATGCAGTTGGATCGGAAGAGCAGGCTAATATTTGTGATGATCACCTGGGAACGCTTCAGTAGTGTAATCTCGCGTTTGGAGGGAAAACTGCGTTCGATAAGGAGTTGCTTCAACATGCATGTTAGTGAGAATAGAACACTCCATGTGCTGAAAGCCAACTTCTTGCAGCAAATGAATCACGTCTATGGTTATGAGACAATGAAACAAATAAAAAACTCCGCAAATCCTTTCGGGATGGGTCACTGCAGCAAATTAGCGAATATTTCAATATTACCATCTCATTTGACAGATGAAGTGGATGGATGACTGAATAGCACAGTGCTCACATTAGCACAAAGAACACCTGCTTTTGAAGGAAAAATATGAGCTATCTTCCTATACCAATGGTATGCTGTCTAATTCGATCTCACTCAGACCGACAAAACCTTCAATCTATGTGAAAGAGTAAATGGATATATTGTGGAAGTTTTATGACAACATAGATTCTCTTGAGTACCATTTTCAAAAGATCGGCAAAAATTATGAGGAAAGAATTGGGAACTGTTTCTAAACATGCAACGCGATAAATCACAGCGGTGGGCAACTACTTTTTTGATGCACAGCGCTTTCTTCACACTATTAGTAATCCTGTTAGAGTCAGCTATATATTTTTTACTAGATGACATGTATAGAGTCCTCTTGATGGCTTACTTTCCCACACACACTGTATCTTTCCAATTGTTGTATATTAGGATGTATCGCCACAGGATGAACTCGCCCTGCAGGGTGCTTTTGTAGATTATTAGGTGTAGTGAATGCCTTATATGGCCCCAAACCTACTATGTTTACCAGCTTTCGAATAGCTACCGAATGAGCATCAATTCGGTGGAAAAAAGCTCTGGACTATACTAAACTGAAAAGTCGTTTGGTCCTCGGTTAAAGACTGAACGGAATACTGCAGTAATTATACAGCTAGATACTTGAGATTACATACGTAAACTGGAAAAGATTGAAAAAGATGGAGCACTCAGTACTGTAAACTCTTAATTCTTGCTATTACCTGTAGTGGCGGGATTGGAAACGAGTCCGGCAACGTAATATCAGTCATTGGTTGATTGCACTCCATGAACTTTTCCTCTTCATGTCTGAGGTATCAAATTAAAAATGGCACAAAATTACAAGGAACTTTTAAGATCAATGCCACTGATTAATATAAAGTAAATTAGTATTCATAAAGTACTTATGAATAAGACGCCAATCAGAACGACTAAGATCGGCCGCGAAATCATAGACTCCAAGAGTTCGCCCTCGAAAGGTCCACTCCCCCCAAACTTTCCCTCCAAACAACCACCTATCCATTGAAGGTTGTGTCTGAAGGAGAAATATTTACGAACTTGCACAAGGAATATAGGTGCCAAAATCAAACACATATTATTAATAAACATACCCGAACTATCTTTATATACGATGGTTGGGTAGGCCACTTTCGAGCCCACTCATTTTTTGTGACAACGCGTCCAACTCCGAACTGTAAACTTGCTTATACATTTCTAATGCATTAATAGTGTTTCCTAAAATGACTTTTCCATTAAAGATAGTTGCATTTAGACATAATAATACCAAACAAGTTTTGTCCACAAGTAGTTTCCTGCTAAATAATTAAACGGATTACTAGGTCATTGTACATAAAGGTTAAAAACACGGCAGCTTCAAAGACAGTTCAATCTTAAAAAATAAACAAATAAGTGCATACATGTAAATAAAACCGAAACATTATGTTTTCCCATCATTACACTATCTTTACATCTCTGTCACTACATCATTGCTACTTCATCCGCACCAAACTGCAAAGCACCAAAGAAACAATATGCCTGGTTAAATCGTTGCTGTTCAAAAAATAAGCGGTGCCCACAATGATGTTGAGATTTGAGATATTTCCAAAACTCCGCACCGAAAGAGCCCGTGGTAGGAATCGAATTCGCTATCACCCTTTCTTGGGGTTAACGCGTTCACTAGTACACCATGCGGGTCCCTCGTTTCGCCTTTCGCTCAACCGTGTTCTATAGGTGCTATCAGCAATCACTCGTCAACGTGATTGACCTAAGGAACATAAATCGGCACTGATCGGCAATAAGCAGTGCGACAACAAAAGAACGGATTTCTGCTTGTGAACAAAGTCTCGCCAACGCAATATCTATTATTGCGTATTTTACTCTATTTTTGTGTTTATTACATGATCCGACATCATATATATCATCGTGCTCGGAACCTGGCACTTCTTCTTTTCGAATTGTTCGCTCGCATCACTACCTACCAAAATCTTCGGATACTTTTTGTATGCGGATTGTTTGCTGCTTGAGAGCTTCTTCGTCTTACCATGAATGTCGTTCAATGCTGGACAACCCTATAATCCTGGGATAACCGGGCTAGAGAAACATGGACTAGTCGAAATAAGCTTATCCCAGACAAGTCTGTTACAGAATTCTCTAACCTTGAAGGAAGAAAAGCTGGGCCCAATGCAGAGCAGAGCCACAGCCTGGGGAATCGGGCCGCTCGAGTAATAAGCGGAACCACTTACACTACGCTAACCGCTCATGCTATAAAATATAAAGCTATTAAATGTCCCTTGTGAACATCGTCAACGAGGACGCAAAAATTGTTCCTATTTACTTCGTCTACTACTATTTAGTGGTCATAGGAAGAAAAAAACGGTATTTCACATCATAAAGGATTATTTTAAAAATATATTAGCAGTACTCCACAAAATAAGCACTAGGATTACACTGGGCAAGCTCTCAATTCATGGTAGTGTCAATATTTAACATAAATGGGATGCTGGGAACTACCACAATCGTATACTTTTACTACAGAGTTGGGTAGAAAAGTATATTTTTATAAGAAGCATATTCAATTTAAAGACCAAAGTACGGTTCCAAAAGGTCACATCAAAGTCCACTTGGTCGCTTCATACGAAAGGACGAATAACTTGATAGAGACGCTTAAATATCATGTCATTTACTTAGATTATGTCACTTCGACTGGTCCCACCCCTTACCAACCTTAACGTCGCAATGTGACAGGATACTAATAAAAACACATGGCTGGAAAATTCAAAACAAGATGTCGATTTGAGAACCATAACTGTCTTGTTAGCTTCTTTTCAACAGTGTGCCTTCTAATTTTACTTTTGAGAATATGTCGAATAGTCGTTGGACATCGTGGTAGCATAATGACCCAAAATACACTGGATTCTACCACATTCCGAACACAACGTGGTTTTTACTTGATACGGTTTCAGTAGTTGTATAGTGCAGAAGATAACGCTCATTTCATCCCCAAAATGACTTGATCCATATCCAGAAAAACAACTGAGGTCGATTTCCAGAAGACATATGATAGAAGTTGAGCAACCATGGAAAAATAGTTTGAAAAAAAAACAATATTTCAAACCGACGAGGAATAGCCAGTTCAAACAGATTACGAAGCAAAATGCAGAGGACTTCGATCAAGAAGAACTGATGCTTCGAAGAATATCGACAACTTGGACTGGGAAGATTTTGAAAACTGCGAAATAAAAAAAACATAGGAACACATTAAACGCAAGATCAACAGTTTATCTAATATCCCCATATTCTTATCGTTCTGAACACAAAAGTGCAAATATAAAACAAATAAAAATTGTCTCATGTCTTCGAACTATCGAAACAAAGGAGTCTATACCGAAACGAAACAAGTCTATACCGAGTAAAATGGGTCTTCGTCAGCAGACCCAATTTCAAAGAGCTTCATCGCTGCTGTAAAATATGGAGGAGGAAATTAATAAGAAACCAAAATCTATTGAAATAGAGAATAAGGGTTCTCCTAAATCGTAAAACGGACTACTGCCTACAGCACTTATACAAGTAACATGTTACTCGTTCAACAACTTTAAAAGATAAGCTAACATGGAACCTTTGTGCAATGGTGTTCACAAGCACATAGCGAAAGTGGACAGTGATATGTGAAAGAAAAAACAAACGTCGAGAAGTTGACAAATCCATTGGATCAGTACCGAGATAAGCCAGACACAACAATATTCTCGAAAGTAATTTCGAACCCAGGCTGTTAAACCAATATTTTCGAAAATTGCAATTAGATGGAGGTTGAAGGAAACATGTCTCGTGCTTGAAAAGAAGCTGTTCACTACCACCGAACATTTCAAACAACTGGACAGTGCTCCTCCCCACATGTACCTTGAGCATCCCTACATCCTGCCACCCACCAGCATACGAGAAATATTGTGGTATTACACACTAATTTGAACGAAAGGATCGGCTTGTTACACTGTCATCAAGCGCTCGGTTGCCTAATCAGAGGAGCATTTATTATCATCACAGGAGTCGCTGCTGTCCTAGAAGAATCGTTATATAGAAATAGAAGAGTCGCATGGTAGAGAAACTCAATCTATAAAACCTCTAAACGCAACAGGGTGATTCCGATGAAAACTGGAAATGCTCTAGTGAGATTACCTTGCCATTACAGAAAGTGTGGAGAAAAGATAGCATATTCTCCAAAAGCGAAATGAGCGAAAAATCGCTCGAGCAACTTGTACGGGCTAGATATTGCTAATTTGAGATTCTTTCAATTATCTAATAGAAGCTGCAATACCTAAATAGAAATCTAAAAATTGAGAATGTCAGTTTAATAACTAGTGAAAAATTGCTGAATAGAGCATTCAGCGGACTCACCCTTTTAAGTTGACACAGAATCTCCCAAAGATATTTCCCTTGTGCGTTCACGTCATAGTTCCCAATAAAGCAAACTGATGAAGACATTCTCTGACAATAAATCGACTAATTTGTATCAAGGAGCTCATTGGACGCTTTCGAAGGGTTCAACATCTACACCCCAACGTGAGCGACTACCCAGTCATACGTGAAGGGTTACTTGCGGAACCCAGCATTAACTGATAGCAACTCATTTCTTTCCCATCTGTTTATTTTTCCCATTTCGTGGCTTCGTGATGTACTTTTCGTATCCAGTCTAAATTTTGCAACGCAGGTCCGTACACTAAGAGTCGGACGATAAAACGTAATGCAGATTAACTGCTTAATGCAGCCACAGTGAGGCAGAAGTACCATCAAAAAAGATAAAAAAGTAAGGCACTCAGAGCTGACCAGTCCATGAGGAATACTTCGCACATCTGACTTCACCAAATATCGTTAGAGGTGAGTGAATGCATATTTCGCTTATAAATTTTATTCCCAGTTCCCTAGTGATGTATTCAGTCAGTGCTGCTATCCTTCCACACAGGTATGGTATCATTTTGCCGACCTCGGAGGGATGGACCTGAGGAGCCTTGACCGCGAGGTCGATCGCATGTTTACTGCAGGGCGCCTTTAACCACCCCACCACATAGTATGACCACGAAAAAAATTTTATATAAACCGTAACTGACTAGGTGTAAATCATCTGACATGAATCGGTACCCACTTAGGTGAAATTTGAAGTAAAGATTAGATGCGGTAGCCACGTGGCTAGAGTTCGGGAGGGTCGTAGGTGTTAATGAAAAACGGTGAACTTCTGAAGATTGTATAAGCAAAATAACAGTATGTATGAACATCTAAAACCAAACAAATCACGTTTTCATCTGTGCCTTTATTAAGGTGTTTAAGCAACCAAATAAATGAAATTAGAAAAGGCGCCAAATCCAGCACAGTACATTCAAAACTAGCCAGATAATCTGAGACCGGAAAATCCAAAGAGAATGAATTCCTAACCTTCGTAGTCTAATAGAAACATATGATAACTCGAAAAAGTTTCACAAAGGTCATACTCATTTGCCAGTGCCAAATCGAAAGCTAAGGGCATAGCGATTCCTGTTGAAAGACGGACAAAATTTTTCACCTATCACATCAGAAATCAAGCCTGGCGTAATTAGAGAGAAACAAAAAAAAATTGAAACATAAAATTTGACGAAGTAATGCTCACATACATAAGTAACTGCAACATGAACCCTGTCATTTCAACAGCTACTTAAGAAAACGAACAACAATTAACCTGTCGTATGCACATAGTTTCTATACACACCTTTTTTCGATAAATGCTACGAACCAATTAGTTTGAACAAGCAAAGGAAACGCAAAAGATAACACAAACCTACAACACATACAACCAAAAATCGTTCGCGATGTCAACCCTAAAAATCAAAAGTGAGAGCGATGGTTTCGTTTGCGACCACCTCTCCGCTGTAGTAATTTGTTAGCATCGTTCTCTGGTGAAATATCAGTACAATCTGTAATTTAGTTATTTCAAAAAGAAGCTTAACATCATACCTAAACTAGACGAGATTTGGAAGCACTTTTGGGAATTTGTATCACAAACTTAGAAACTTTCCTTCAGCGCCGATTATCGGCTCGTTATGCTATAAATACATATACATATATACATACAACATATATTTACATACGTATACTAACCTCCCAACTGCTTACCACCTCATCGTGGCTGGGAGGGGTTCTTGGGTATCGGACTGCGATGTATAACTGGGGATTCACATCACAGCAGAGTCTCTCAGGCTGAGAAAGAGTCCGGCCTTTCCATCAGGAACCCCAACCAGAAGTAAACCAATACCAGAAACTACCACCGTCCTGATACCAAACTAGTCGCATGGTGGCAAATCTCCATCCGATCCACAAAGGCGAAGGCTCCCGACTGTGGTAGCGACGATCTGCTGGGAACTCTGGCTAGGTTGACCTCGTGACTCCTCTGGGAACCACAATGGTTAAACCAGCAAAACTCCGAAATATGGTAATTGTGCTGGGGCACACAAAAACCAATGAGGACAAGCCATCCATTAAGAATATATATATATATGTAGATATATATATATATATATACTTACTTGGGTACTCGGACGGTCCATCTTCACGAGCTGTGCGGACCCCAGCACATATGCCATTCGTTCCTTTCTCTCGCAATCGTAGTCCATGGTGATGGCCTTCCTCGAGCATGCTAGCGCATGCAACTCTCATACCGTGATCTGTAAAACAACTGCAGCTTTTCTCTTTTCGTCCAACTGTCGTCTGTTCTTCTCATTATGTGACCGGCCCATCTGTGTTTCGGTATCGATGTATATTCTCCTAGATCTCGAAGATGTGACAGATTTCGAAGGTCAGAGCTTCGCATTCCGGCTATACATTGAAAGTGCCGGTTATATTTCAGAAGACATCGCTCAAGCGCTCTGTGAGTAGTTCGAAGCATTCTTGTATCAACTCACGTCTCTGCAGCATAACACGGCGCAGGGAGGAACGTAGAATCAGAGATGAGCGCGGACTTTCGGGTCCTTCAGTCGGTCGGCGGCCTCTTTGGGAGACCCGAATGCGACCCAAGCTTCTCCTTCTTCTACCCAGTTCCTCCTTCATGTTGTTCTCCATCTTCATTGATCACCAAAGGTAAACGTACGAAGTGGTCTCTGCAATGAGAGAGCCACACAATTCAATTTTTTCGCCTTCGCACCGCGAGTTTTCATGAACTGGGTCTTCTTTTGATTTATGCGAAGTCCGATCTTTTTCCCCGCTTCGCTGCGCTCGTTGATCATTACCTCTGCTTCGCTAGTACTTCTTGAGAAGATGACTATATCGTCGGCAAAACGAAGGTTTGATAGGAATTTTCCATCAATATGTATGCCTTTCTCATCCCAATCGAGTGACTTCATTATCCACTGCAGTGCGGCACTGAACAGCTTTGGCGATATTGTGTCGCTCTGTCGAACCCCTCTTTCTATGGGTATTGTAAGAGATCGATGGAGAAGCCGTATTTCCTCAGTGCAGTTCCGATAACAGTTCGACAGAGTTCTTATGTAGGACAGGTCCACACCTTGGTCGACGAGCGTTGATAGGATTGCATTCGTATCGACACTGTTAAACGCTTTTTCGTAGTCGAAAAAGGTTAGGACTAGAGGCAAGTGGTATTCCCGACAAACTTCGATGGCCCTGGACACGGTTTGGATGTGGTCCATGCAACAAAATCCTTTTCGAAATCTTGCTTGCTCGACTGGTTGCGTCTCATCCACTGTCCTTGATATGAGCGAGAGGATGATCTTCGTAAAGAGCTTGTAGAGTACACCTAACAAGCATATGGGACAATAGTTACAAGCATCCCTTCGGTCTTTTTTCTTGGGCAGGATAACCGTGCGCAACGTCCTCCATTCGTCTGGGATTTTTTTCTTTTGAAGGTAGTCTGTCAAATGATCTGCGAGAAGAACATGTAAATTGTGGGACTGTGCCTTTTTTCATGCTTTCTATCGAAACTCGAACCTCCGACGGAAAAATTCCAAGTGGTTTTTCTCCAGCAGGAATATCAGGGCGCGGGACGGGGATTGTGGAACGGAAAAGGTTGATGCAGAACGTTTCCGCTATTAATTCCATATCATGGCGGGAAGTTTGGATGATCCCATCCTCGCTGTTCAGGGTTGACACCCGAACATTATAACCACACAAGTCCCGACGGCATTTTTTCAGAATGCTTCCTTTCTCTGCTGCCTCCAGTATTTTCTTCTGCTTATACCGTTGTAGATCTTCCTGCAAACCTCTTCTACAGCTGGCATTTATTACTAACCATGTTAAACGTGTTGCAGTAGGATCAAGCCTCAGTTCTTTCCTCTTTTCGATAAACTCCTTAGTAGTGATGAAGATGCGATCCGATCTTCTTGCTTGACGAACAGCAGCGAATTCGGCACAGCTTTTCAATCCTTCGACAAGCAGCTCGTGGTCTTCGTTCGGGTCTTCTTTAATTTGCCAGTCACGATTGGACAGGACTTCGTTCAGAATGTTCTCGTCGCATACAGCTAGACTTTTTCTTCGTGGTCGATGAAGGGATTTCTTTCCCAGACCTTCTTATGACGCATCAGTTGAAGACGGAGGTCGGCTATGCGAGGGTAAAGGATCACGTATGCGTCGACGTGATAGACAACGAACGGGTGAACGACAAAGCCTACGCTGCAGACTTTTCGTGACGGGTCCTTTTCTCCACGGATCACAAGGGTCCCGTTGTTTAGTTGGCGAATTTCGGTATTCCTGATTTTTGTTTCTTGTAATGCGATCACATGAAATTTAGTGCGACCTGCGGCTACAACGGCGTGAAGATCGGCGTCTGTGGAGAGTGTTCTGGCATTATGCGTGCATAGTAAGAAAACATCTTCATGGCGTGTCGTGCGTGTGTTCGTCGGATCCGGTCCCAATGACGTCCTGCATAATCCGAGATTCTCTGGCCCCTCACCGGTCGTCTCACTGCCTGAAGTTATAGACGGGAGCACCCAGCGTGCGGGGTAGTGAGTCTGGTCTATTGCTGGTCGTGCAATTTGGTCCTCCCAGGACTCCTGACGTAACCTTGCAAGGGCGTATCCAGGTATTCACCACGATGTGGATCAGAGGGAGATGTGTTTTCGGCGACGAATCCTTCGCTCGGTCTTCCTATTAGTTGATTCGGAGAGATGTTAAGACTCAAACTTAGGTATTCCTTCCTTTATCTTTCCAGGTTTTCTTCCCTAAGACAGGCCTTATATGAATTTGCGAAACCTGGAAAAATAAAAGCCGTGCTTTGACCAAGTCATGGCATTAAATTATGAATCGTGAGTGATACAACCACAGGGAACCTGAGATATGGGTAAAACTCAAAACTTTAGCCGAGCATCAACCGCGTGAGCACACTTACCCAATCCTTATCCATTACCGATCAATTGAAATCGAGCAGCATGGTCTCCGCTACGTATAATATATCCATATATACACATATATTCACAAAGTACGTAGTATAATGTATAAGGTATACATTG